CCCTCTCCCCCCACCCCCTACCCCTCGAGACCCCTCGAGTATTCGTACTCGAGTCGCCAAGCCTTGCCCTTCCCCGCTTCCCGTCTCCAGCCTTCTCTCCATCCTCCCCTCTCAGCCTGAGTGTCTGTCTCTCAGCCGTGGGCGCTAGGCTCGTGTCCCCTGTAGCTCTATGCCTTTGGGGTCCCAGCTTGCTGGGTGAGCTCCAAGGATACATGCATACCAACCTTTTGCTTGAGGCTCAGCTTGAGGAGTAGCACAATATCCTGCATAGCACTGCACTATTACGCTGCACATCCTGCCTGAATCCCAGCCTCTTCCGCCCTTCCCACACCCCGAAACGGAGTCCTCCAAGCTCTGCAGAGTCGAGTCGACTTGTCATCCCGACTGACGTACCGCCCAGGTTGTTATTATTATTACTCTTTGAAGTTTCTATCGCCCCGTACCACCTCGACCCCACAGCTCATCAGCAAAGGTACAGCCAAGTATCTCGCCTCACACCCGTCCCTCAGGCTTTACGTCAAGAGCCTTCGCAAGAAAACGCACGCCTCTGGGGGTTGCGAGAAAACTATTCTGCAGCTCCAGCATCGTACTTGGCCCGGCGGAGACCAGCCGACACTTCTATCTCGGTTTCTTGCCCCGACCGATCGCGTGTATTGATCTCCTCTGCTGGACCTGACAGACGGACCGACACGCCCCATGAGCAGTGGTACCCTTTTGTCATACGCTGCAGTCGCCATAGTTTTGGACGTCCGTTCATATGGGTCACTCGTCGTCAGACTCGGAACGTCCCGCGAAGCGTCTTAAGCCGTCGCCGCCACATCAGTGCCCGCCGTCGTCGGCTCAGGAACCAGTCTCAATTGCCTCGACATCCGGCATCGTCATGTCCCCCGATGCCGCCGCCAGTCCATGGTCTTCACAAACAACAGGCTCGACAACAACTGGGCCAGACATATTTGCTAGAGGCCCAATACCTGTCAACCAACACAAACTGGATTTCCAATCGTTGTCGCCATTCGGCCAGTCACTCTCACAATTCAACGACTTTCCATCTGTTGATGCAGCGTCTGGCTGGAGATCGCACGTCTCGCTAGCCACAACAGGTCAGTGCTTAAATCTCATTCAACTCGTCCTTTTTTTTTCTTTATCATTACCGCCATTTCCCCTCTTTTTCTCCTTGTCTCTCTCGATCTCGTTACCCTCCATCACACACGGCCCGCTATCCAAGACCTGCGTCTCACACCACTTCCGTTACCCGTACGAACCCCTCCGCCCCCCTCCACCACCACCTTAACCCTCACCTCGTAATGATACCCGGTCACTTGCTGGTGGGGCATCTTTCTGACGGGGGGAGGCTACGGGGGAGATGAGAGAGAACGGGCAGTGCCACGTCGCCCCGCATCAAGATTTGATATCTCTTTTGCATGTCCCCTCTCGTCGTCCCACCTTCTGGCGCTTTATTGCTTGTGAGACCCTGGACGGGTCGCAACCTCTTTCCCCCTGAAACCGCACAGCACTATCAGCTTGTCGCCGCGTCATGTTACACGCCCGAGCCGGTGGGCTGACTATCAATTCAGTTTTGCCAAACTCAGCGTACGACCCGACATCGGCATTCGTGTCGCCGCCGTACTCTGCTGATATCGTCTCAGCCACCACGCCTTCTCCCGTTGCCCAGAATCAGCCCAAGGACGCCAACCGTCACGATGACAAAGACTCCGGCGCACCTAGCAGGCCCTACATACGAAGCCCGTTCGAAGACTGCCGCGAGGCATTCGCTTTCGGCACCTTCAAGTCTCTGGAGTTCCAGCGACCTAACGATGGATTTGTCAACGGCTATGTCAAAGTTCGGTGGCCTGACAAAACCGGTCAGCGACAGCTGAAGACGGCCCGCATGGCTGTATCCATGAACGCCAGCACTTCCTTCTCCTCCGACACAGTGGTCATCCCCGTCAACCCAAATGTCTCGTTCTCACCCGATGTCGTCATGTGGGACAATCCTCCGTCCTCTGCCAACGGAGCCGTGGTCAGCTCCCGCGCAGACACCTCACCTTCAGATACCCCGCTCCAATCGCAAACGTCGTCCAGATTCTCCTTCGTCGATGGTACCAGCTTCCCAATGTCGCAGGAGTGGACTCCGGCCTTCCCCTCGGTTCCTCCATCCCAAGCTGTGCCTGGATCTAACTCCGCGACCGCCATGGTGCCAGCCGCCACGCCACGCATGGTGCCTCCCCAGTTTGGGTTTCAGGCGAAGATGGAGTCTAATACAGACAGGAAGTTTTGGGACTTTTGTAAGTCAAGTTACGCAGCCTCCTTTGCTCAATTTCAAACTCCCAACGCGTAGTGCCGTGAGGAAAACGAACGAGGGCCGCTTCTCTCTTGGAAGTCTCCGTCGCCTTGGAGATATTAGCAAGTGTGTTGTCGGTGGCGGGCTAACGGTGATGTAGACATTCAAAATTGGTGCCCGGGGAGAAGTATTCTTCAAGGAACGAATCTATGGTTGAATGACTTTGCCAAGATGCACGAGCACGACGGGATTCGTTGCGCAATCCAGAGTCTGGCGGGTGTCTATATCTATGACTACGTACCGCAGGCCTCGGTCCGTAAGCGTATCAACGAACTCTTCAAGGTTGCGGAGGCCCGCATGACGGCACTTCTCAACGACCCGGATATCATGCAGGACGACAAGGCTAGCGAGCTTATCACTATCACGGTAATCTTATCGATGCAAGATGTGGGTAGACCAGCCTCCCTCGCAGGTTCCCTACTATAGTTGGACTGACAATGCATAACAGATCGTTCTCACGGAGCGGAGGCGCCCGAAGCCCCATTTGCCACGGTGGCTGGAGGGCTTCCTGCGATGCGAATTCGCCTTGCAGATGACGGATCCGGGGTCGCGGTTTTGGCAACCCAACAACGTGCAACTCACCTCACTGCGTATATCACAATCCATCATTGTGGGTCGAGCTGTCATCTTGGCTCAACCTATGATGCCTCTCCCGGAGCCCGGCGATTTCGATCCCAGGCGTGAGGCCAAACGATTCGGCTGGCTGCTGTATGGCACTGAGAAGGAAATGTACGAGATCCACGGAGGCTGTGGCTTCTCGAAACGGCTACTATACGTCCTGAGCCAAGTGACTTCCTGTGCGTCCCGACTCATGCAGGAGAGCGAAAGTCCAATTGCTCCCGTGACGGCCGAGTTCCTTCTCAAGGAGCTAGACGGCATGCGGCAATGGAGCAATGAATCCCAGTCGTGGGAGATTGCCAGAGCCAGTTTACAGACGATAGAATGGGTGCGATCCCTGCCAGCAGGTTTCATCATCAACAGCTCGAGTAGCATGACTGATGTGACTGCCGAGGCTTGGAGGGTGGCGGCCATCATATACCTGCAGTGTCGCGCCATGAGGTATGACGACGCCGGAGATTCCACCACGGCCAACCCGCTCCGGTGGTCTTTGAAAGCCTTGGTACTGGAAGCTGACAGAACAACGACTAGGTTGCCGCGCAACCATCCCGAAGTCTTGGGCAACTTGCACGACCTCGCTCAATGCATCCGTATCATGCCGACGTCGGGCTCCCACTTCACTGCGCAGGCGCCACTGTTCCCTGTATTCCTTCTGGGGCTGCTTGGGACGGACCCGCAACACGTGGCAGTATCACGGAATTGGTTCGAGCAGGTGGTCATCACACCCGTTCGCAGTGTAAGTCACCTCGCACCATTGGCATTATTCTTTCTGTGCAGCCTGACTGATGTTGTCCCCCTCCCCGCCCCTCTTCCCTCTGCGACAGAGCGTTCCACCTCTCTGGTCAGCACTCCAACGTATCTGGGAGTGGATGCCCACAGAAATCCCGATTGACTACGCAGACTTGCCCAAGGCCATTGGCAAGAGAACACCCTGGTGGGAACATCTCGTGGCGCGCGTACATGAGAAAGAAGCAGAAACGCTATGCTTGACATAGGGCAAATGTAATCATGACAAAGATCTATCCAATACCAGCGCCGGCTTTGCATAAAGCATCCAGTATGCTCAACAAACACTACACCATGCTCCATAAAGGGAACGGCCGGAGGAGATGGCCATTCCGAACTCGCTGATCGCTATCGCCGTTTTCGTCTTCTTCTCCCTCTTTCTCCTGCTCTTGTTCGTCTCTCTAGTCGATGCCGGAGACGGCACTGTCGGCGTCGCCGCGCTGATCCTCCCGGCCCTTAAGTTTGACCAGGTACTGGCCTAAAGAAAGGAGATGGTCAGTATGGATTCGGAGGGAATCATCCAAGAAGGAGCGGCAGAGGACCAGCGCGGTAGTGGCTGGGGGTTTACATACGAAACTCGGAATTGGGCGCCTGCCAGATGTTGGAGGCAGACAGGTTCGCCTTCTCGAACATGATCTCGACGTCGCTCTGGCTGTATTTGTGAGAGTCGAACCAGTCGATCTCCTCGCCCTTCTCCACGCGACGGCCGGTCTGGCCGAATCGGAAGCCATGCTTGGCACGGAGGAAGAAACGGTGACGAGTGGGGTACTCGAGCTCTGCTAGAAAGTCCCAATCCTCCTCGCGGAACCAGGTCTCGCCGGCCAGACGGTTAGCGTGATCAAAGCCGTTGAGCCAAAACTCTCTATAGAGGTCATCGCAGGAGTGGTACGACCTCCAGACCTTGTCGGAGTCCTGGGGGACGAGGTGGGCGTCCATGCCGACGAAGAGCATGTCACCCGGCCTCAGGATGCCGGCCCACGATCTGACCTTTGACAGGGCCTCGGGCCACGGGTCGTTGCAGAGAACGGAGCCGAGAGAGAGGAAGAGGCGAGGGCCCCTGATCCTCTGGACCCATTCGAGGCCATCCTCAAAGGTACCCCACAGGGCGGCGCACTTGACGACAGAATCCTTGGCCGAGTGCTGGTCCTTGAGGTACTTGATGCTGCACTCGAGCGACGTTCTTGAGATGTCGAGGGCCAGATAGGTGGCTTCGGTCCCGGACTCTTCGAATGCTGCTAAGAGGTGCTGAACCTTTCGCGTGTCACTGAGAACAAGAAGATTTCGATCAATCAGCCAACCCTGCTCTCTCACGAAGACTTTCTTACTCTTCTTCTTCTCCTGTCTTCTTTCCGTTCACGGCCCGGGATGCGTGTTCGGTTCCATCATGACCACATGAGAAGGATTATCGACAAGGGAAAACGTACCCTGCTCCCAGATCAATCATTGTGACGCCAGGTTGCGTGCGGGCAACAATCTCAAGGCCATTCTGGTCAAACATGGCAATCTCATCGTGGGTCTGGTAGAATTCAGGCGTGAAAATGATCTTGTTCCAGATGGGAAGGCCGACATCATCGTACAGAAGCTCGTCTGGGAGGGTAGGCTTCGCGCTAGGGTCGTAGGGAGCTTCAATGGTGGCCCTGAGGCTGTCCTCGACGGTTGCCATCATGGTGCTCCCGCCAATGTCTAAGACCTCACCATGGTCGGGTATGCGGAAGCTGGACATGTTGGTTTCTGGGTAGCAGTGGGCGAGGAGTAACGGCTATGGATGGCAATGGCAGTGTATTCGACCCGGGGCGGAAGCACAGAAGGGCGGTGCCTGCCTGGCGGCTATGTGTGCAATATGCCCTTTTTTGTTTTTGCTTTGTGTATGTGAGGTGTGTGTGAAGCGCGCTCGCGTGTGTTTGTGTGTGTGTGTGTGTGTGTGTGTGTGTGTATGTGTGCATGAGAGGGAGGAGGAGAGGAGGAGGAATGAGAAGAGTGAAAGCAGAGTAAGGGTGTGGGAGGTTGAGGAGGATAGGGAGGGAGTGACATGGAGCCCACGATGGGTTGACTGGGGCCAATGCGATCTGGAAATGGCCTCAAGGTGACCTGAAGGTGACCTGAAGGTGTTCCGAGGGTGATCCGAGACTGAGGTGACTGTGAATGGCCGACGGTGGTTGGTGGTATTTGAAGAAGAATAGATATCGGTGCCTGGGCAATCGTTCCCCTCTCTTTCCTTCTTCTCTTCTCACTTGATATTCCCACCTTCTCATTACCAATGCAGACCTGAGCGGAGAATGATGTGAATAATGAAAATACTTCTCGTCAAGAGAGGGGTGTGCGCGTGGCGGAGGGGACTTGAATTATGAGAAGAGGGAGGAAGGAAACGAAAAGGATGAGAAAACTCGGGAGGGAAGAATTGATGAATTGGGAAAGCATTAGGTGAAATTGGTCGATGCAAGCAGAAGCGGCAATAGCTGTACTGACCGGGGGGGGTGTGTGTATGTGTGTGTTGTGTGTGAGAGAGAGAGAGAGAGAATCGCGCAGGAGGTAAGGTAGTATGGATTGTCGGGGGGGGGGGTGTTTAATTGGGGTTTTCTTCTCGTTTCCTAGGGAGCCGGGATGAAGAAGCAATTATGGAGATGGGTGTATATGTGCGTATATATACATACATATATATATATATATATATATATATATATCTATACATATATTATCATTGTGATGTTGAAGCAGACATGACGTGAAGAAGACAAAGGACAGGCAGACGAGCTCAGAGAGATGAGGAGAAAAAGTGAAGTTGGAGAAATGGAATTCTCACGAGATGGGGGGGAGGAATCCAAAGAGTTTCCGAGCACAGAAGAGCAAGGGGATGGTGGATGGATGTGTATGTATGTACTACAGGCTACAGGCTAATACAGGCAGCAGAGAAAGTAGTAAGTAATGGTAGTAACAGAGGTTGGGACTGGTAATGGTACATCTGGTGGTACCGTGCATATAATAATACTCTTATTGAAAACGGATAAAATATAAAATAGATAAAATATTTTTTAAAAAAATATTAAAGTAAAATAAGAAGAACGGACTGTATAGACGGGAGTAGACGTGAAGAACCAATAAAGAGTAGATTCCTGACCAAAACCGGGGCAAGGGAATTGTCTGCGTGTGTGTGTGTGTATGTATGTGTATGTGTGTGTGTGTGTGTGTGTATGCGTATATGTGTGTATATGTATATGTGTATATGTATGTGTGTATATGTATATGTGTATATGTATGAGTGTATATGTATATGTGTATATGTATGAGTGTATATGTATGTGTGTATATGTATATGTGTGTGTGTGTATGTGTGTGTGTGCGTGTGTATGTGTGTGTGTGTGTGTGTATGTGACGATGGTGGGTGGTATCTGTTGTGGTGCTTGTTACTTCTTGTGCTGCTTGTAGTTTCCCCCCTCCTCATCTGTCATTTTCCTAGAAAGGAGGGGGCGCCTATTGTATTTTTATGATCATGTATACAATTGTGTAGTATCTATGGTACCTACATCTGATATGGTACCATCTCACACATAGCAGGCATGGAGAGTAACCTGTCAACAGAGTAATGGGTGAAAAGTTCAGCTAGGTTGAACGCAGAGATGATACGAAGCAGCGTGTCATGGCAAGAAATGAGATGAGCTGTAGAGAGGAGAGAAGCGCGGACGAAAGAGTGAAGAGGGGAAGAAGAAGAGAAGAAGAACGAGAGAAGACAGACATGGGAAAACTGTCGAGACTGACAAGACGGCAAGAACCGCCAATGAAAAGAAGAAGAAGAAAAGTCACGACCCGAGCACGAACGAACGACCAAAACGAACGAACGGCGATCCCGTGGGATGGGCGGGCCGCCCAATGCTTAGATGGCTCAGCCACATGTACTCGTTCCATAATAACTACTAATTAGATGTGGGGGGTTTTTTTTTTTTTGGAAGGGGGGGGGGGGGGGGGGGGGGGGGGGGGGGGGGGGGGGGGGGGGGGGGGAGGGCAGCACGCTAGACCGAATACGTCACAAGTTGTCGTGATACCCGAGATACGGGGTTTGATACATCACATACACGCGGATGCTTTACTTCTCGACAGTTTGTATCTAATCAGGTTATACGACCGGGGGGGAGGAGAAGAAGATACATGCTGTACGGAGGAGTACGTACGGATGGGTACATTTATGCGTCGAGGTACACGGCGCAATGTCCGTGCCCCGGTTTACGGAGACGGAGTCGACGGCGTACCGGCGCGAGTAGGACGAACTGTCACAAATCGCATACATCTGACTTGTGAGGGAAGAAGCGCCGCACCACCCAAGCCGAACATACACACACACACACACACACACACACACACACATACACACGAAAACTGCACGAAGGTGTGGCCTTTATGGTAACATTTGTTTAGAGGGGAAAAAAAGAAGTTTCCTCTTCTTTCTCTTTTTTTCTAAAAAAAAAAAGTCTTTCCCCCCCCCCTCTCTCTCACACACCCTCATCCTAGTCTTATGCAAGAAGACAATGCAGATCACATGCAGTAGCGTGCGGTCATAGACAAGGGAGGTGGATTTTATTTTTATTTTTTATTTTTTTTAAAAAAATGTAAATTTCTTTACGACAGCCCATGTCATCTGTCTGTCGCTCTCTTGTGTCTCGACGTTGGTGAGAGAAGAAATAGAGAAGAGAAGTAGGCGATGGCGATGACCCGTAGTCGAGCGTCGAGATGTGATTTTGCTATTGACTGGGACCAGCAGTCGTAATGATACGGGTCAAATCAGTTGGTGCATGATTCTCGGCATATAAAAAGAAGGGAGGTATTACATAAGAGAAGGACGTATATGGAAAGAAAAGAAAGATGATAAAAATAACAAAAATTACTAAATAATAATAATAATAATAATAAATTCCAAAAAAAAAAAAGAACAAGTATCATCATGGACTTTGCCGTTGAAGGAGAGAGGCACAGAGAGAGAGGGGAGAGAGAGAGGGGCGTCTAGGAAAAGACAGGAGAAGAAAGAAGAAAAAGGCAAATCATTGGGATGCAAGCCAAGACACGTGTAGCAGATGATGCGGAGAGGGTGGGAGAGAAGGGGGAGGGGGGGGCTGAAGGGGATCCAGGGGGAGGAAGAGTCTGTCAAATCGAAGGGGGTTGGGGTTGGGGTTGGGGTTGGGGTTGGGGTTGGGGGGGTTCATCGAGATTGACCATGCTCAAGGTTGTTCTATGATTATCCGTCCTTGATTTTTGTCTGACCTTTTAATTTTTTTTTTGGATGATTCTTGTTTTTGGATGGTCTTTGCTTATATTCATCCTTGTTCTCATTCGTCCTGTTTTATCTTCGTCGTCGTTCTGTCCGTCCTCGCTCGACCACGAGCAATTGAAAGGATTCGATCGGTCTGAATGATGTAGATTGACATGAACACTGCTGCGTCTACTACATCCATCTGCATCCATCTACCGTCTACTACATGTAATATCTATACAAACTACATCTATTACATCTACTACATGTAATATCTACTACATCCATCTACCATCTACTACTACTACCACCACCACCACCACCACCTCGCACACATCTCTCCCACTCTCTCACTCTCTCTCTTCTGACGATGCGCGCCATGACCGTCCTCATATGTTTCCATCTTTCGGCATCTTCCCCCTTCCCTAAGAAGATCCCCCCCCTCTTCCCCTTGATCGTCATTAGCCCGTTCCCCACACATCAACCTGTCAAACCCGCATTGCGGAACGAAGCGGAAAAAGCAAGTTATGTATATATATATATATATATATATATATGTATGTATGTATGTATATACACACACACATACACACATATAAACAAACACGCACGCACGCACGCACGCACACATCACAGACGACGATGGGCTGCTACTCCCTCGTGCTGAGAAGAAGCCGCAGGCAGCAATGTGCGGAAAGCTGTTACGGATATCTTGATACTGATACTAACACGGCTACCTGTGGTGCTGCTTCTGCTGCTGCTGCTATACGATGATACGTGATATGCCATGACTACCTGCTCGATATACACGTACTCGGCATTACATATCACATGTACAAGTTATCCCGTCTGCAGCACGCGCTTTTATCCCGCATACAGCTGACGAATGATACCTGCCTGCTTTTCTTCTTCTCCTTCTTCTTCTTCTCTCTTCCAACTGGGCAGCCTACAGGCCAATCACCCATGTCCTTACGGATGGTCACTCGCACAATCAAGGGTCCAGCACACCCTTCATCTCACCAGTAGATCTTTCTCTCCCTCGCACCTGACGTGCGGCAGGTAGCATTACGACGACGTACCGTGCATGGCAGGGAGGAGGGGGGAGGGCATCGTACGAACGCTCGAGCCCGGGTGGATGGGGAGAGGGGCGAGAGGGGCGAGAGGGGCGAGAGGGGGGAGGGAGGGCGGTGACGCACGGGAATGTCATTACGAGGTAAGATGGATGGACTGATCGTGCGAGTATGTGCAAGCACTTCTTCGTCCCGATATTCCTGTCATTACGATGCATTTACGAGAAGTGCACTCTGCAGAGGTAGGCGTATGTGGTATGTGTGTTTTTAATCTTTTGAAAATTTTCATCTTTCATATTTTTTGAATTTTTATTTATCAATTATCAATTATTTTATTTTTTATTTTTTGAATTTTGAATTTTGCTATCCATGTACCCCGTCTGTCTTTTGTGCCTCGTCTTATTCTCTTCTCGTCTCTTCTCGTCTCTTCTCGTCTCTTCTCGTCTCTCCTCGTCTCTTCTCATCTCTTCTCGTCTCTTCTCTTCCCTCCTTTTCTCTTCACTTCCTCTTTCTTCTTCTTCTTCTTCTTCTTCTTTTTTTCTTTTTTCTTCTTTTCTGTTCCATGTATACATCATTCTTCTACATGTAGAATACATGTATCGGAGGGGCAGATAAAGGGCAGAGCCGCAAGACGGCATGATCCCTCGTCAGATGGAGGGGTTCGAAGCAAGGTTAATTCCCCAATCATCATCAACGACCTGATCCACCACCACGGGCGGGTGTTCTGTCCGGGCGGGGCAAGCCGTCTAGGGACTTTTTTTTTTTTTTTCTCCCTCTTCTCTTTTTCTCCCTCTTCTTTTTTTTTCTCTCCTCCAGTTTTGTTGAATCCATCCTCCTGTGGATCGCGTGGATCGCAAATTAAAAAAAAATATTTTTTTTCTATTAAAAAAAAAAAAAAAAACTTCGTGTCTCGTGCTACTGGACAGCCTCATCTTCGAATCAGTCGACGTGTTTATTGAATTGGTAAGCAATCTCCCTCGGCTGTTTCCCTTTCTCTGTAGCTTCGAATCCTCGGGCATGTCGGACCGTTTTACTACTAACCTATACATGATTGGAGGTTAAGCCTCTCTTCTTTTTTCTTCTTTCTTTTCTTCTTTTCTTCTTTCTTCTTCTCCATATAGTATCGGTGTAGGTATCGGTTTTGATCTTGATTATATAGCTCGAATGGCCATCAATATTACGATAATATCATCTCTTTTCTCGTGCTGCTCAGAAGAAAGAAACGTCGTTCGCAAGATGAACACCGACCTCTTCATCTCGTACAATGCTCAGTCACCTGGTCGGTGCTGTCTCAGGGGAGAAGCCCGGGAAGGGAGAGAGAGAGAGAGAGAGAGAGAGAGAGAACAAGACGGAGGGAGGAGGAGGAGGGGGCAACTATCCAGGCTAAAAATCCTCTACTATCTTCATTCACATTTTATCCCTGCTGTTCTTCTTCTTCTTCTTCTTCCCTCCCCCTCTTCTCTCCGTCTTCTTCTCTCTCTCTCTCTCTCTCTCTTCTCTCTTCTCTTCTCTTCCTTCTGTGTTCGTGCCTTCGAGTTGGCGGAACAGAGCAGGCATGTAGGCACGGCATCTAGTCCATCGTGTCGAATGGGTGTGCCCGCCATCATGCTGACTAGGGACAACGTCATGCACCCGACTCCTTTGCTGCCGATGACGTGAGCGTGCATCTTGGTGACGGTCGAGCTGTTGAAGTGAACCGCTCGTCGGTATTGGTATGTCGTCTTGCTAGTAGGTGACCCTGACGACCTACATGTACATGGCACGGTGATATCACACGAGGTCGGCATCTACCGCTTCAATCCAGATCAGCGACTTGCCATTCTTT